TTCCTTCCATGAAGGACATTAGTGAGCGAGTGAGTTTTTCCTACAACCAAAAACAGATTGGATTCTTAAATCCAGATATTTTTTAATTGAATCATCTGCCAAGCCAGAATTTGAACCCGGGACCCCAGAACATTATCTGTACATGAGCAACAATACCACTAGGCCATCGTCACCTCATTCCTTTCTTATACCCCAAATTAGCATGGTAATTGGCTCCTTCATTCTGAACTAGTATGACATTTTAATTGAAATTTTTAAAATGTGAAAATAATTAAAATCTGTTGTTGCCAACTGAGGAAGTTAAAAAGACGGGAGTCGATTCATCCTATCTCACCTGAATGTAACAAAATTGGCATCGCAGTCCAGGGTAATTCACATAGGCAAATAAAGGAATTGCATTTGGGGCAATTAAATTCTTTCTTCAGAAACGATTAAAGGAAAACTGAATAATAAAAGATTTTCAAGGGGCTGTAATGTTAAAGTACTAAAATGTCTACATTTGGAATTGATAAAAATTAAAGACATTGTCATTGGAAGAATTACAAGGGCTAGCCAGACACTTAAAGGTGGAAATCCATGAGATAAACAGAAATTGTAAAATGAGTGGGAAAATATCTAGAGGAGGAAACTAGGATAGTGAAAGAGAGTAAACTAAAGCTAGAAGAGCACTGAAGTTTAGAATGAGAATTCAAATAAGAAAAAAAGAGGAAAGTAAATAAGAGACAGAAATTCAGGAATTGGAAATAATAAGGGAATTCCAATTGAAACAGATCAGGCTGACAAAGGAGGATCCTATTAAAGGCATCTCTGGTGAGGGAACCAGTTTAAGGCTGGAGTGTTCAAGTTGACAAAAAAGTGGTTAGTCTCTTTTGAGCAGTTAGCATAATAGTTAAAGTGGCCATTCCAACAATGGACACAATTGTTTCAGAGCAAACCGACAGGGAAAGCACATGACATTTAGTCCTTCTTGCCTGACAAGAGTATCACTAGCTACAAGGCTTTAGAGGTGTTATCGTAGAAAGCTTTGACGTGTTGCAGCAGTGTATCTTGAAGATCACACTCACTAACCATATGAATTTGTGATGGAGGGCAGCGAACAGTTATGGTAGTGCTGATAATGTGAGTTGTTTTGTCCTGGATAGTGTTGAACTTCTCAATCATTCCATCCCACTCCTGACACGTGTGTGTGTCTGTGTGAGAGAGAGAGAGAGAGAGAGAGTGTGTGCGTGCACGCCCGTCCTTCCCCTCAACAGACGAGGAGATGACCAAGAAGATTCCTTACAACTGGTAAGTATAAAACACACTGTTTCAATTGGGTTTTCCCTAAATTGGCTGCACTTGAACCATAGAGTCATACAGCATGGAAACAGACCCTTCGGTCCAACTCGCCCATGCCGACCACACTTCCTAAACTGGGCTACTCCCATCGGCCTGCATTTGACCCATATCCTTCTAAACCTTTCTTATTCATGTACCTGTCCAAATGTCTTTTAAATTTTGTATTTGGACCTGCCTCCACCATTTCCTCTGGCAGTTCTTTCCATACACACACGACCCTCAATATGAAAATGTTACCCCTCAGGTCCCTTTTAAGTCTTGCCCCTCTCACCTTAACCTGCACCCTCTAGTTTTGGACTCTCCTACCCTGGGGAAAAGAACTTGATTATTCACCTTATCTATGCCTCTCATGATTTTGTAAAGCTCTTTAAGGTCACCCCTCATCCTCCTACACTCCAGTCCCAGCCTATCCAGCCCCTCCTTGTAACTCAAACCCTCCAGTCTCGGTAACATTCTTGTAAATCTTTTCTGCATCCTTTCCAGTTTAATAACATCCTTCCAATAACAGGGCAACCAGAACTGTACGCAGTACTCCAAATGTGGCCTTACCTGTGTCTTATACAGCCGCAACGTGGCGTCCCAATTCCTATACTCAGTGCTGTGACCAATGAAGGAAAGCATGCCAAATGCCTCCTTCACTAACCTGTCTACCTGTGATGCCACTTTCAAGGAACTATGTACCTGAACCCTTAGGTGTCCCTGTTCAAGAACACTCTCCAGAGCCCTACTATTAACTGTATAAGTCCTGCCCTGGTTGTCAAAATGCAACACCTCACATTTATCTAAATTACACTCCATCCACCACTCCTCGGCCCATTGGTCCAGCTGATCAAGATCCTGTTGTACTTTTAGATAACCTTCTTCACTGTATGCTACACCACCAATTTTGGTGTCATTCACAAACTTACTAACCATGCCTCTTATATTTTCATCCAAATCATTTATATAAATGACAAACACCAGAGGACCCAGCACCAATCCTTGCTGCACACCGCTGGTCATAGGCCTCCAGCCTGAACAACAACACTCTACACCACCCTCTGTCTGCCACAGTCAAGCCAATTTTGTATCTAATTGGCAAGTTGTCCCTGGATCCCATGTGATCTAGCCTTACTAACCAGTCTACTGTGCTGAACCTTGTCAAAGGTCCTTGCTAAAGTCCACATAGACAACGTCTACTGCTTTGTTCAAACCATTAAAATTGCCACTGTACGTTTAGCAAAACAAAATCAAGAACATAGAAGCACAAAAGAAAGCCATTGAGCCCATCAAACTTTGCAATAAAACTATTTTTTTAAAAAGTCATATTTCACTGTGCCAAATACCATGGGGAAGCTTTTTCCTTTCTAATTCTTTGAAATAGATCTGAGTTTTAATATTTGATATCTGTTAGATGTCTGAAATTTTGCAGCCATTTCTACCTTGTATGCTTTCAGCATGTTTATTTGAAAATGTATCATCATTGTCCAGTAAATGCTCACCTTTTGTTCTTAGGACCAACCAATCTCTCAGTGAAAATCTCTCTTATTTCCAAGAGGAAAGAGTCCAGTGACTATTGACATTGCATGCTTACAATTCCAGCCTTTACCAATATACTGTGCTCAGCCTTTATTGAGCATGTGTTTCCTCCCTGGTGTAGGCCTGTATGGCCATTTAGCAACTGACAAATAGGTGGCATATGAATAAATTTCTTAGCCACACTCTTAAACACTTCCCTTGCTTTTTCCATTATTTCCAATGTTGTTACAGCGCACGTTACAGATTCAATGTAATATTTAACTTCAATGCACAAATTTTGTTCTTATTTTACTGGGTTTGTTAAAGGAATTATTTCTGGACAACTAAATTTCAACATAGGCTAATTGCTGCTTCAGGTATTTAAATGAGCTAAAATTTCAATCAGTGATTGCTTCTGACTGACAATATTTGCCATGACTCTGGCTTGATTTCATCAACAATGTTCTTTAATTCTTGGGCTTTTGAGCCATTTACCCCTGGAGAAAGGGGTGAATATTTAAAAGCAAAAGTGTCACATTTGCTTGTGACCTGTCCTTTTCTGAAAGAATAAAAAAAAGTTGCCTGGAAGCAAAAATATCCTTGACTACCCAACTATATGTCAATGGCCAAAAGAGTGTTTTTCAGATGTAAACTGAACTTTCTTCCTGCAAGGTCTTGTATTATTCCTCCTCAGCATTAACGTTCTGCTGATATCCAGGTTTTCATTAAATATATGGATTAATTTTCAGGTACATGAAAGTACAGTATTGATTTCCATGCAAGTCTGCTCTAGATATAGATTCCTTCCCATTCATTCCTGTGGCACTAAATTCCTATAAAGGAACAAATGATTTTCTTGTAAAGTTGTTTCTTTTTGTGCAGTTTGTTCCAGTGATCTGCAGAGTTTTTTTTTTGTTTTGCTTTATATTTCAAGAATATAATTGTAGCTAACAGAGAGATGAATTCCTGCTCGTAGGAATTCTGAATATTTTTTGGTTGGGATAAGTTTTGGTTTTAACAGTAATCAAACGTAAATGAAATATTCTTCAAACCACCAATTGCCCCACATTAAGCCAGACTCCGGGGAGGTGAAACCCTCAGTGTGTTTTCTTGTGTGTTTATATGTGGTCTTTCTTCACTCCTTTGTGATATTTGACTGACTTTGCACCTTGCTGGAACTTTATAGCTGTGGTTCCATTCCTCACCAATTCTTCTTGAGTTATAAGGGAAGCACATTTTCAAGCAATCGCTTAATAGTCATACTTCATAAAAACTCTAGAGTGCATGAGATGTAACTGTGTTTAAAAATACCACAATTGTGAAACAGCTGATATAGTTTGAAGACAGTAATACAAAACGTGCATGATGTCCTTCCATCACACTGTGCATGTCTCCACCCTGCTTGTTATGTTGGCCTTGATTTGCATAACAGCCAAATGTATATGAAAAACTGAGCCTTAATTCAATATACAGGACTCTACAAATTTGAACATTAGATTTCCAAAGAATATTTGGTATACTTTAAAGCTTATTCATTCACTACTTGAAAGCAATTGTATCATATTTTAACTCTGCCACTTCTGTAAAAGTTGAGATTTAATTTAAAGATAGTTTCTACATTTAATATGTATTTTTACATCATTTAACATTCAACATTGTTTTATCTGTACTCAAATGAGCAAAGCTGCTTTTTTTTCCCAGAAGGTCAGTCTGTTGTTTTCTTTTTGCCTATTTGGAGCAGTAACATGCATTCTTGAGAGATGCACAGAAACAAATTTTTTTTTATAGTTTCCTCAATCATCCTAAGCTTAGCAGTAGCATTTCAATTGGGGCAGATCAAGATGGAAGAGACATTTTGTTGCACAATGTTGTGGGTAACAGCTTTGCTCTTTTGCACACGAGGGACCAGTTGTATGCCAAGTTGCAGTCAAGAGTAAATATCCCTGAACCAAACTTGGAATTACTTTAAGAAGAACTCATCAGCCATTAAACCAACGCAAGTGCTCAGTTCTGACAGCCAATATGTGATGCTTATTCAAGGGTGTTCAACATTTCGGTGTATTATGTCAATCAAGTCCTAATTGATTACTGACTAGTAATGTTTTTTCTGCTAATAAGTGTTGAAAACTAAACATCTCTCATTTTTTTCATTGCACCTTGGAAAGGAACATTCGGAGAGGAAGGTATGATGTCACACAATGGCAAGCAATTTAAATGCCTGCATTAATTCACACCACTTTATTCATATCAACAGTGTCTTATCTCTCACTCATTTTGTTTATGAAGTCGATCAATAGTGAATAATTTCCATTGATAAAACAACACTTTATGATGAACCTTTTTTCATTATTTCCAAATGTAAAATTTACAATTGAGAAGCAGTTTCTTGATCGTAAAAGATCTGTATCTTCAAAGTTAATAAATGAATCAAATCACATAATAAGCCAGTGTAAAATTGAGTATCCACTTAAAAAGGGGTGAAAAATGGGACTGCCACTTGAGTTCAGAAGATTCATATGTGACATTGGTGTGTAGCTGAGACATGCAGAGCAGGCTGATGCCTACCTTGACCACTGACCTGGTATTAAACAAGTTGGGGTCAGCCAGGTCAAAGTGTTCCCAATATCAATAGCACTGCTTAAGGAGGACAACTGCCAGGGCCATTATCTAATGCCTGCTAGGAAGTGCAGCAGAATGATGTCTTCTGATTTTCTCTAGAGATTTATTCAATTGACTGGCCTCCAATGACCCTGGCCGCACAGCTTCTTTTCTCCTTGACTTCAGGACTTTTATAACTACCAAAATGAAAGCGTTCAAACAAAAACATTTTTTTTTAAAATGTTACTATGATTTTCCATCTGCAGGGATGCCAGGATTATGCTGGATGGTTGCCATGTCATCTGTATAAAATCAGCAAAGGAAAGGATAGGCTTAGTTTTGATGTTTCCCTTCCACATTTCCTCAGCCCTTGGTCATTTAGATTGATAGCACTCAATGTTCTGCTTCAACCATAAAAAACTAACCAATTCGGCCGACAACCAAAGTAATTTGCTACTTTTGAGGGGTACCAGGGAGTGGTAGAGAGAGGAGTCCGGGACAAAGGGTGGGTGAATGATTGCTGTTAGTTTTGGGATGGAAAAGGACAACAACAGGATCATTGCACAACAGTAAAAATTGGCAATGTACTTGAGGTCTGATTTTCAACTAGACTAATCATTGTTGTGTAGGCTGTACATTAATTAATATTATGATCTGCAGTGTATCGGATTAGGCTTTCACATTTTCTTGAGGTTGTTTCTCATTTGTTCCTAACAATTAATTTGTAAGCTGAAGTGCTGAACCATTTGTAACTTCAATCATCTTCCAGTTCAAAGAACATCTGTGTGCCTGTATGTGTTTTAATGCTGCCTGGTTGATGTGCTTCCTCCATCTGAACTCTTGAGAGAAACATTGAACTTCCTGACCCAATTATACAGAAAATCCACAACATCACAGAGCCTTTGTGATGTTGTGCAACCCATTGAAGCCATGAAAGATAGTTCTTTGAACCTTAGTTTGCACAATATAAACTGAACATTTAGAAACCACTGAAAAAATATCTGTTTTCACTGAAAGCTTTACAGATTTGTGAGAAGAAGTGTTAAAAATCCAATGTGCAGTTCAGGTTTTAAAGAGCCACCTTTATAACTTACTGGTTTTGAAAAATAATAGTCAACCATCAGGCTCCAACAAAGAAACATCTTATGACTTCAAGAGAAGATCTCAAACTGTAGCTATGTTCTGTTATCTCAAATGTTAACCTATTCTTTTTAGTTGTTATTTTAACGATAACTCACTTTTGTTTTCAAATGATTTTATCTATCAGATTTCCATAAGCAAACCCTTCAGTCCAACCAGTTCATGCCAAACATAATTGCAAACTAAACTAGTCCCACCTGCCTTCTCCTGGCCCATATCCCTCCAAACCTTTCCTATTCATGTACTTATCCAAATGACTTTTAAACGTGGTAATTGTGCCCACATCCACCACTTCCTCAGGATGTTCTGTCCACTCGCAAACTACCCTTTATGTAAACAAAAAATTTGCTGTTTATGTCTTTTTTAAATCTCTTTCTCCCCTCCATTCAGGTTTGCATTTCTCCACAACCATAATGCCTTGAGAAATAGGAACAGGATTAGGCCATTCTGTCCCATGAATCTGCTCCGCAATTTTAATAGCTTCATGGCTGATCCGACATATCTCATCCATTTTCCTGCATTTTCTCCATAACCCTTGATTCCCTTACTTGGGGCGGCACGGTGGCTCAGTGGTTAGCACTGTTGCATCACAGCACCAGGGACCTGTGTTCGATTCCACCCTCGGGCGACTGTCTGTGTGGAGTTTGCACATTCTCCCCGTGTCTGCGTGGGTTTCCTCCGGGTGCTCCGGTTTCCTCCCACAGTCCAAAGATGTGCAGGCTGGGTGGATTGGCCATGCTAAATTGCCTGTAGTGTTCAGGGATATGTATATTAGGTAGGTTATAGGGGATGGGTCTGGGTGGGATGCTCTGTGGGTGGATGTGGACTTGTTGGCCGAAGGGCCTGTTTCCACACTGTAGGGATTCTATCTATCTATCTATAATCGAGAGTCTATTTATCTCAGCCTTAAATATGTACCAGGACTCTGTCCCCACCATTCTCTGTCCTAAGGAGTTTCAAAGACTCTTAACCCCCCATTCAGTGAAGAAATTCTTCTTCATCTCATGCTTAAATTAGCATCCCTTTATTCTGAGATGGTGCCCTGTGCTTCAAGACTCTTCCATGAGTGGAAACTTCCTCTTAGTATTTACCCTGTCAAGCTTCTTAAGAATCCTGCTATTCAACACAATAGCTCTCAGTCATTTGTATTTTGAAGTGCCAGGAACTCTCCGTATTTCCCTAAAAGAAATCTATTTCTCCATGATCTCCATTTTCTATTCTCGTTTACCCTGTACCTGTGAGATAGCTATGTAACTTCTAACTTCTTTGTTTCAGATCTGGAGGAGCATAAAATGCCTTTTGTCCGTATATGATCCACTCTTTGCTCCAATGAAACCAATGTCTTCCGATACTGAAGGAGCCAGACCTCTTCTGCGTTGCGGTTGCTATGGAATACGCCTGTAGGTAAACTTCAGGGCCTGGAAAAAGAAGGGAAAGTTGAACTGGTGCTTCAAAGAAAAGCTGAGGAAAACACTTGTGAACATACAGAAATCCATGCTGTGTCTTTACCTTGTTTAGAGCTTTGGTGCATGCTCCAGCCCATGAGACCAAAAATAGTAGTGTCAGGCTTTGGGTGAGGCAGGTGGGCATCATAAAAATGTCTGATCCTGTTGTAAAGTATTCCAGTTTTGGGTTTAATAAAAAACATTCTAGGTCTTGCCGCAGAATCCATGTGACCCTGTCGATTAACGTGAATAATCATTATATTGTGAGAGAGCAAGAGTACAGATTAACCTGAACGTCACTATTTTACACTGTCCTGATGTCAAAGCTGTAATGATCTAGCCTGCAAAACACCCCTTTTTTTCTTTGTATTTCACACTTGCTGGTAGCTCTGTTTGAATTTTGTTAGATTAGAGAGCTTTTCTTAGCTGGAATAAATCCTCATCTCATCTATGACGTGAGCACCACGAGAAATGTACAAATTAATGAAAAGATGGATTTAACCTTGCAAGTAGCTCCAGTTGCTCCATGTTTTGCTTTGAAGTAACTCATGGGGACAAAACATTTTTGCCATTTTTCTACACCTCAGTGATAGAAGAAATATGAGTTATTGGACAAGGCTGGATTTTGACGTGAAGTTATGTAGTGAATTGCCTGTTTGTTCTTTCACTTGGGGAAAACCTAAAAAGCAGAGAGAAAAACATATAAATGGTGACTTAATACAGTGAGCCTTAGCAGTCCAATACTAATCCAGCAATAAATCCTATGCTAAGTTCCCAAACCTTGGTACATTGGGTAGGAATACACCAACAGAACTTGTGGCATCTTCCAGCACAGTTGAAGAATCAGGGAGCAGTGTCATATCTGGATGATCTGTACTGAGCAATGTTAGACCAAGGTGAAATTTTTCTTTAAAAGAAAATCATGAAAACAGGGAAACTTACATATGAATTACTGTTTGTGAAATACAACTATTTCTTAGAGTTTAACCTAAACTAAGAAAATTGTATGTTTGTAACAAGTATCCTTAATTTTACAGAAGTCGGGTTTTGAAATTATATTATTAAAATTAGTTTTAATTGAAGTAAGCTACAAAATATGGGACACAAATAAATTGAGAACTTCATATTTAAACGGGGGTATGAGATATTTGATATACGATGAAGGTGAGGGAATGAAGCTACCTCGTTTCTTATAACATTCAATACTATCAAACTTTGTTATTGTAAGTTCAAGGCAACTATCAGGAATATATCTTTATTATGTTTGAAAATCTCTAAGCTTGAGCTGGGACCAACAACTTTCATAAAAGAACCTTATTAACTCTCCCAATAAATAGCCTTTTCCAAAATGGCTTCTCCCAGTTTCTAGACTAGCACTGCCAATATGACTGTCCATGTCGTGGTGTTACTTTAGTGGATGTTTTTCCTCTGTAGTCTTCCACTGGAGAATTTTCACATGAGATGTGCAATGATTGCAGCTGATGATTGCATTAATTAAAAAGGATTTTCCTGGACTTTGCAAACCTAAATTACCTCTTAAAAGTTGCACACATAGAACAAGTGAGCTCTAAATTTACTGCAGCACTTCGACATAATTTTGGTTTATACATAAAAAAGTCCTGTACTTTATGCAGATTTATAATTATCTGCAACTCTTGCTACTGAGCCTGAACTCTCAACACAGTTCATGGCCATCCAAGACATCATTCCTGGCTCCTCGCTCTCCCGTTCAGGAGAGTGGAGCGAGGGAGAAGGAGCTTTTGAATACAATTGGAATTAATTTTTAAATTTTTTTTCTAAAAAAGAAGTCTATGATTATTTTTTCTTCAGAAAGATGGCCTGGAGTGAGGGAAACTTTCACCCCAAAACCAAACACAAAAAGACAAACCCCACACTTGACAAACCTGCACCTGTCATCACATCAGTCATGGCACTTGTTTGATGAGATTCCCTACTTCTCAAATCTGATAAACCTCTTATCAAGCAGAGAAAATGGCAGCTTGTCAATGGAGAGAAAGTATGTTACCAATTTCAAGACTGAAAGTATAAAACACTTTATAGAGAGCAGCCCAAGTGTAACCCATTCTGTACCACAAGGACACTACCTAATAAAGACAGACTAGAACAAGAGCTGCAGGATGTAAATGTAGATCACAAACCAGGAATTTTGAGGAAGGAGTAAGATAGATAGGCAGGGAGTGATTTTTTTAAAATTGAAACATGAAGATCTCGAAAGCTTACACATTAATGATCCATGCCTAGAACACGTATGCAGCAAAGACATAGGGAGACAGGTCTCTACAAGTACAGCCATGGGTGTAAGCTGGGATTTACTAGACCAGGACAGAGAAAGTTCACTGAAGGTGTGTGAATTCTCTCATTGATTGGAGGTGGGATGGAGCTGTGTATGTCTTAATTGGTTATGAATTCTCAACAGGGTGCGTTCCATCATGTCAACCAATTCATTCAACCTCTGTACCACTGCTGTGTATTATTGGCTAGCTGTGTAGTGAGGAGTTTTTATGAATACTCCTTGAATCCCTCTTACCCAACTACAATACTCAGAAACAAATGCTTCTGTCAGATTCATTCAAGTACATCTATGATTCAAAACTGCAATCAGGATGTCCAAAGGCAGCTTGATTTTCCTGTTTCTCCAGCCTTGAGCCAATCTTCTCCTCCCACTCTATCATACAAGGGAGGTAGTGGTAACCCACTCCATATTCCTTCTGACAAGTTCTTAACAACTCGGGCATCTAACTTCTCCAAGAGACTCCAGATTCAAGAGCCTTTGGAGCTTCTTGGTCCAAATAAATGCCCTTACCATCTTCCACTCCATGGTTGACCAGTTGGTCTTCAGCTCACTCCTGCAAGTCATTTAGTGCTTCTATTTCTAACTCTGCCATTGCCCATTCCAATAAAGCAATCATCCTCTACTGATGTTCCCTCTATGCTCAAAGTCTTTCCTTGTACTGCCAGGACGGAGTACCCATATCTGCAATCTCCATTTAACTTCATCTACCATAATATATCCCCATGAATCAATTCACAATTTTTCTCAGTTTTGTGAAGGTTTTCCTGTTTTCCACTCACTTCCTGTGTCAAAATGTACTTGTGTCTTGAGTGGCTTCTAAAGGGCCCACACTCCTCCAAGTGTTTACCACTTTGGTGAGTGCTGTGTCAGGCACTGTCAGCTCCTTCTCACACAACATATGATCCCAATCTTCACCCAAAGCCTTGAAATGTGCTTCCAAATTATCTTGCCCTCCATTAAAGATAGAAGGAAACTGCCATGCTGTGCTTGCTGGACCAGAGAATGTGGATATTCCACCTTCCTGATGTAAATACATGCCAAGCCTTAGATCAAGATTGCAGCTTCATATCACCATTGCTTCTTTTGCCAGTTACCTTAAATCCATGCTCTCTGGTTTTTCATTCTTCCACAGCTCTCAGTTTTCATGTTATTACATATTATTACTCTTTTTGGAGGAATATTTCTGAAATGGTTTCAAAAGAAATTAGTTGGCTAGGCTTGTTAGTGTTTCTGTCACAAGCACAGGAAAACAATTCCAGATATCAGTCTACCAATATCACACTAAAGCCATGAGTTTTATTTGTGTCCTAAATGATACTGGAATGCTTCTTTTGGTTAACGTCCTAATCATATTCCACTCCACATCTTGCTTTGCATGTGGCATAAAATGATAAGTAGCTTCTGTAATTATTACCAAAAAAAACAAGAAATTGTCTATCAAAACTTGTAGAAACAAATTTTGAATGTAATTGAGACAACAGAATGTTACTGAGCAGAACTTGTACTGTTTTAAAGGTTATCATACAAAGCTTCACATTATAATGCATACATTTATTGTAATTAATCTAAGATTCATAATTAATACACTGAGCATGTGCGCACTGGTCTTTTGGAGTCCTTCGAGGAAGTACTTCAAAGTACATGGGTGTTCCTCCCCACCCAAGTGCAACCGGGGACAGTTGCTGCATTGTTGCATCTAAATGTCATGCTTTTTGAATATTATTTATGGAAATCATTCATACTCTTAAAACTATAGCAAAATGGTTCTAAGGATTAATTTTGTTCTCCTCATTTGTCTCACTTCTACATGGGAATGTCTGAGCTGCTGTACACCGAAAACAAACACTGTCTCAGGGGGAATTTGATGCTATGATTTGATTTCTCAGACATGAATTTTCTTGCATTATGCAGTGAAATCTATTCAGGTAGCTCGTGCTGTTTATTGTATCATTGCCAATTGTTTATTTGATGTTTTAAGCCAGAAAACTGTTCTTCCTATCTCATCCATGCTGCTTCCTCAAGGATTATTTTAATAACACCAGACTTCCAGCTAAAGGGAACTAAAATCCCCACATCAGCAGCACCAACATTGGAGTGAAGTTCTGATCAAATTCTGTGAGATCAGCTTGTTCAATTATGCTCATCCTTCCGAGCGCAAGAAGATCAGATACAAATTTTAACAATTTTGTATGATGTTAAAGTTATTCACTTTAAAACCTGCTGTCAGCTACTCCTTCATTCTTTAAGTACTATTTCTTCTCCACACACCTAGTTCCTAGATGTTATTTTTTTCTCTCAGGCTTGCACAGCTTGAAAATTCTTGTTTGTGTGTATATTTGCTGTGTTGTGGGTATTTGGTCAATATCAATTTACTTCTTTCAGAAGGAGCTGCAATGGTCTCAAAGATGATTTTACATACAGCAGGATATGGAAAAACTCAGATCCCCATGTGGCTAAAGTGGGGTGTAACACCTATGCAAAGGGCAGTGACCTGTTTGTTGTTTTTCTCTCAGTTTCATGGTACATATTCATTACCATATGCATGGAAAACTATGAAGGGGAAAATCTAAAGGAAAGAAATTTTATTTAAAATTGTATGCCTATGTGTACTCTCAAACACAAAGAATGTAATGTTTTTGTTTTGAATGAACTCCTATAACACAACTGAAAGCTCCTCACAGCTTTCTAAACTTATATTCTCACATAAATATTCTAATATTTGTCCCACCAGAGTAAGTGATCATTTCAGTTTTACTGGTGACTTAGTTGTTTTAGTCAGAAATCTTTTGTTACTTCTTGGACACTTATTCAAAA